CCTCTTTCATTTTCCTTTCAATTTTCGGGGGGTTGACCAATGAATTTTTGAGAAATTTTCACCAGAAGCAGACCACCCCAAAAATGCAGAAAATGTCCCTTTCCAGAAAAATTTTGAAAAACCCTCCCTCGGCAAAATGGCTCAAATAGTGCCACTTTCAAACCCGATTGCATCCAAATTGCTCAGAATTGGAAGCCCGGAGTCCGGCCCACAGGTCCAGTCTCACATTTCTTCAATTCCTCAGTTCCATGGCTCTCAGGACCCTCTAATATAGAATATTTTGAGTGTATGACTTTTATTAATGAGCTCGGCGGACATATTTCTGGCCTAATTACGAGGGTGCACCCATAAAAAATAGTAGATGTGTCATACTGACCGGGAGGTCCTGGCCCACCAGGAGGTCCAAAAGTAATTAAGAAGTAGGAAGCGATAACCCCTAAACAATAGACAGCTCGTGCCGCCTGGAAATGAGTGGGATGATCCCTATAGGCAATGGACTGTACATAGTGGGTGAGCTGTGTCGGCTGACTGTTGTGTTAATGTTTAACATTGTGTACGTTGGAAGTGAGCGTTGACCTTTGGACACTAAAGAAGAGAGGGCGCCCACGTGCTAACGGTCTTGCGTTTAGCTTACTATGACTACCAAATTTTGATCGATATGGGAAGAAGACTCTATTGTCCCTAGGTGAATTTTTACTCCTTTGAACTAGAGTGTTTTACGTCGGTTACTCTGTACATGTATATGGTTTGGGCTCTGCCAGAAGTTTTAAAATTCTTTGAACGGATGTTTTACGGCGGTTTTAATATCCCGTACATGTATACGTTTTACAAATTCAGTCAGAGCGGAGCGTCACTCTTGTACTTTATTGTAGAACCTAAATGTAAAATATAGCATATAAAATTATGAATTCTTTGGGGCGGCAGGACGTCAATTGGGGATTTTTAACACGTAGGAAAGGGGTAAATTTATTTGTCGTACTGTGGAATATTGTGCAGAAGTTATACCGATAAGTATGACACAAAATAAATTCAGTGGACTTCACATATTGGTTTCTGGTAGGTTGGTACTAGTACCGTGTTATTTCCCGTTGTTCGTCATTGATTTTTTTTTACAATAATTGTATTAGCAATTGTAAGAATTACTACAAGGGTGATTACCGAAAGTGTGTTAACTTTGAAATCAGAGGCAGTACATGTAGCCTAGTCATTCTTTTTGGAAGCATTTGTCTTTACAGACTGTTATCTTTTAGGCATGCTCCTCTTTGTCGTAAAATAGTCCGGCAATTTTTTCAGCATGTTCAGGCGAAAATCTATTCAAGGCTTTGTTGACGTTCATGCCTTTATCAAGTTTTCCATCGAGATCATACACAATGTCGTTGTGAGTTTCATTTCCCCTCAAATATAGGTAACTTGACAGGAACTCCTTATAGTTTTCGAAAAAGTCTTGTTTGACTGCCCAAAGGGTCGTTCTGTTTGCCTTCTGCCTGGCTTGATCTCCATCCATGCCTTCCTTTACGTACTTGTCATATATTTCATCCCTCACCCCCTATGTGTTTCTCTAGCTTCAGCCAGCCAATCTTAGTAGGCGGTACTGTCTTCCAAATGTGAACTGTCTTCATCCAAGTTTTCGTCATCGACCTCCTCAACAGAATCCGAGTTTTCCTCAACTTAATTCATGTCTGATTCCTACTCTACCTGGATATGTTCCATGTGCCTCTCTAGATTAAACTTCCGTCCGAAGAATTTTTCACGCTGGTGACAAGCAAAGGGCTTGGCTGCATAAATGCCATTCATGTTGACCCTGCTAAGGATGACCTTTAAATGACACGAAACAAATGAAATCGTTCCATATATCTTATATGTACACGTATTTACTGCTTCTGCTTTGCATATTTCGTTGTTTTTTTCCATTGTTTTACTTGTCAGAGTGGTCTTTTTATTGCTCAAACTGCTCTATGTTTTGCTCTTGCACTCGCTTTATTACTCTCTTACTCTTTTCATTGTTCAAATTGTTCTTTTTATCGTTCAAATTGATTTTTTATGGTGTAAATTGATTCTGTTTATGGGCTTTTGACAAAGCTCACCAAAGTTTGCTTAGAAAACGGAGTAAGTTTAAAAATCTCATTTGCAATCTCATTGGACTGTTTAGGTTTGGCCTGTACCTTCTGCTGCAATAAAAAGGTCAAAATGAGCAATAAAAAGAGCATTATTTAAACATTGAGAAGAGCAATAAAAAGAACAATTTGAGCAATAAACGGAGCAATGTGAACAATAAAACCGCAATTTTTCCATTAAAAAGACCAATTTATATAATAAAAAGACCAATTGGAAAAACAAAGTTCATTTTGAACAATGAAAATCAATTTACACCATTTTCATGTATTTTAAAAGTGCCACCACAGCCCCTCCTAAAAAATTACCTACACCCTCCGTGTACAATGGAATATCGTGTGTCCTAATTTTATGTTAATGAGGGTCACGGGGGGTCAAATCCGGCTTTGTGATTGGTAGAGAGGCCGTCATCGAGAGGCAAAATATCCTGGTTAGACGGGCTGCACTACTACTTGGGTCAGTGGCTTTCCACCCAGCCTTCTGCAAATAGTGTATCGGTGCAGGACACTTCTGAATAGGTTGTGGGACCTAGTGATCCGTGGATCCGCTGACCTCAGGCTAAGCGTCTACCTTGACGTTAGCTGTGCCACGTTCAATATGTGTCAGTTTGGGTTGCGAGTACAGACACTCCTTATCATTACAAATACCAAGTTTGAACTCAATCGAACGTATGATTTGGTTTTATGGCCATTTGAAGTTCATAGCTACATGCGTGCCATTGTGCGTGTATTGAGCATCGCGTGGGGAAAAAGTGCATATTGTGGCTGACCCTTCTTCGAAAAATGCACGCTGGGCTAGAACGTACGGTATGTCAAACTGACAAAAAAGAGTTATTTTGAACCTAAAAGAGTAGGGTGGAACCTACCCTTCCCCTCAACATTTTCCCAGTATCGCTGATGTGCATTTTTAGAGTACCTCTTTGCGGTTATTTTGACTAGACCAGGTGATGTGCTCCTGCCGAGCCGAACTTCATTTAAACTTTTTGCGCAATTGCGCTAAACGTCGAACTGAAATAGAACAGTGTCGTGTCACTTCCATTTGGAACGACAATAAGCGCGGCATAACCTGTCTAGCTGAAGGGCATGAATTGCCAAATTCAATTTGCCGAGCCTAACTGTTCTAAACACCGTACCGTTGCCGTGGCAAACTTAAAGAGCACCTCTAAGCAAAACAATGCAAGCCGAACAATGCATGTAGCATTGAACAGAAAAAGAGCCCTTTTTGCTTGTTACAGTTGAGTTCTGAAGACAAATGACGTTCGATTTGGAGGCTTCAATATGTATTTGAACAGATAAAATCAGATAAAATATGTTTTCCTTATAGGTGCTCTTTAAAACATTCAATTATTTGAGTTCGGCACGGCAGTAGCACGGCATGTAGCCTAAGCCTTAGATACAAACATGCAAGGAAGTAAACTTGTGTATACAGACAATAATGTAGTGATATGCATTAATATTTATTTGAATAAAATATGGAAAATACATGATACGGAATACAATGCTGAGGTTCATGATAATATCTAATCATAACTCTCCATATGTAACTTCTTAGACTTTTCTAAATTGATGTATGCTTGAATTTTAGGACTGCCTCGCTAATCCTATCATCGAACATTTTGTGGAATGTGGTTTAGTGAAGTGTATGGTGACACTAGTCATGTTGCACAACGATTCTTTTCGTAAAGAAAACGACAAATTCCCACAAAAACCACGTAACAATGATTCCTAATAGAAAGAGTTCTTGTTGCAACCTTTTGAATTAATCAACATGTTTGAACTGGCCCCGCCTTGCACCACGATAATGTACTTTGCTCTCCACAGTCAAGGTGGGAAAGTAGCATTTAATGCGCATGCACTATTTTCGTTACGTCTTGGAATACATTCTCACAAACCATTCGTTATGGGTGTTTGGTTACTGGCTACTTTGACCTCAAGTTAACAGTTTAAAATGCTCACATTTCAGGAACATCGGAATATGGCATAACCTAATATATGTTTCTATTTTGCAAACTAAAGAACTATGAGTTTGGAACGTACCGTTTAATACGTTGCCATTTCTACTATACAAGAAGGCATTACAAGCAGGTCAGGGACCAAGGTTCGATCGAGCGACGTTGCTAGACTGAGCATACGTCGCCTAATTCACCAACACGGACGTCATTTAAAGTTCTTTTTTTTTTTTTTTTGGTGTTCTATAGCCGCCAAAATTACGTCGAGTCGTCCCGTCGCCCCAACGTTACAACGTGACTCCACGACGCGACGTTACGACGGCTCTGTCGCGTCGCGTCGTGGCTTCGCCTCCTTTCTCGTTTCTTTTATACTGTGTTTAGTGCATTACGTCGTGCCGTCTTGGCGTCGCGTCGCGTGGTGCCGTTGCATCGTTGCGTTGTATCCTGGGGTCTTACCATTGCGTCGTCCTATCTCGCTGTGCCGTTGCGTTGTGCCGTCGACTCGCTGCGTCGTACCGTCGACTTTTTGCGTCATGGCCTTCAGCCGTAGCGTCGTGTATTTGTGTCGTGCTGTAGCCCCTTGGCGTCGTGCAGTCGCATCATGTTCTCGCCTTTGCCTTATTACTGGTGGAGATAAGTGCGGAAAGTGATCGTCAGGCCATAACCTTGAATTTCCAGTGAAAAAACGGAAGCCAACCTGTTCCTGAGAATCAACAAGCGGCGCTATTTCGGTCCGATTTTGCACCGTTTTCTATAGGCGCGTATTTGGTGTAGTGCAACCCTATACGCGCATATTATTTTTTCAGGACTTGTGACATACGCCCTCTATTTGCCTAATAGTAATCATCGTCCGTTTTAGAAACAGTAAGGCACAACAGCAATAAACAACGAAAAACGACACGACGCGACAGCACGACACGACGTTGCGACAACGCAACGGCAACACATCAGGATGCGACTGCACGACAGCAGGACTCGACGGCCTAAGGCACGCTATATAAAAGCCATACCATAACAGACGGCGAGATAGCACGACGCGACGCTACGACGGCGAGATGCAACGTCACGAAGGCACGATATGACAGCAAGGCGAGCCAGCACAACGCGAGGGCATCAAGATAAAAACAACTCGACGGTATTACGCGACACCACGACGGCACGATGCGTCGCAAGACAGCACGGGCAACATAAGAAACACAGCATAAAAGTACTGAGAAAAGAGGCGACGCCACGACGCGGCGGAGCCTTCGTAGCGTCGCGTCGTAACGTCAGGCGACGGGACGACGCGACACAATTGAAGCGGCTATAGAACTCCGTACTTTTTAAAGCATGACTCAGGGACAAATTCAATTTCTTCATCAATCTAAATTTTCAATAAAATGACAATGATTTAGACTGCAGACAAAAAGTCATGTGAAACAACTGGTGTATTGGGAAAATTTGCTTTTTACATATTATTTTGTTAATTCATGTTTTCGTCGATTTCGTGGAGCATAATGCCGTGTTGTTTCTTGAATAACAGGCTTGTGGACGCCACGTTCGCTGCTGCTCCAAGTGCTTCTGATAAACTTCTCAAACAATCTTACAATATCATGATTTAGACTGCAATATATTGATTTAGACGTAAAAGACGTAACTCCACAAACGAAAAAATGTCACACATCAACACTTCTCTTTTTTCATAATATTTTGCACAGGTAATGAACAAGATGCAAGCTGTAAGACGACAATGCAGCCAAAGCAATTTAGAGAAGACAACTCGATAACGACGGCTGGCAGTGACGGTCACACTGAACAAGCTACCGGCCGGTCTGCAGAGAAGACAAACGCATCACATAGGACCGCAGGTAGCTATGCACAGACTACATAAGAAACATTGCAAAAAAATTAATTGAAAAAAATCTCCGGTTACAAATTGCAAAGCTATGTTCTGCATGGAACCCGAAGGCGATCCAACTGACCTTGACATAATTCAAAGTTGACTGTGAAAAGCGACTTTGAAAAGACATGCTGAGTATTAAGGATTCCAACAGTAGTTACTACATTGCTTAAAAAAATTACTTTTACAGTCGTTTTCACAAAAACAAAAGACCGCTGAAAAAAAAACCAAGTTATTGATAGTTGGTCAGGCGTAGGCACATTTTCATATGACAGAGTGGATTTTTGCCCTTGGAAATTACGGTTGACACATAAAAGTTTAACAGTATGCGATCAATAATTGTGCAGCTATCGCACAAGTGTTTTCTTCATGAAGTTAAAGTACAAAACACAAACGTCATAATCATGATTTAAATAATTATATTTTGCACAGATGGTGGACATGACATTAGTAGCAAAACAGATTTGTCGCTGCAAAAGCAGTTTGGACAAATCAGCTCAGAAGCAATGGCACCCATTGGCGATCCAGCCGATCATGCCGCTGATAAATGTGAAGAGGTATTAAAGACACTTTACATGACAACAGGTAGTTATGCACAAATAATCAAATGGGTGGATGATAAGACTGAGATGGTAACGCCCAAGCTCTTGTCTGAAATGAGTGGCAAAAGCGTAAAATATGAGGATATTTTCGGCAGGAAAAAACAAGATGGCAATCCATTTGAAGTGGTCTTTCTTTCTGGGCGAGATGACGAAGACAGAACCTTTCTTTTGGAAAACATTACGTACGATTGGGCAGCTGGTTCCAGTCCCGTACTGCAGCAATTTAAGTTTGTTGGATCTCTGCGAATGGGACCCTTTCACCAGGAGTCTGACCTCGTTGGAGCGATTTATGATCAACTGCTGAGACTACGTACAAACATCAACAAAGCTGATTTGGTTTCGTTTATTGACGCCAACCCCCAAAAGGTACTTGTCATTCTCGATGGGATTGACGAGTTTCTGACCCAGTACCCCGATGAGACAAAGTTTGGCTGTATTATGAATACCCTCCATTGGACTGCAGCGAGAGGC